TTTTAAGGATAATAAAACAAATTACATTTTTTTTAGTCCTGAAAAGAAAGGATTTCCTTTTTTTATTTGACATTTTTTATACGGAGAGTAATTGTTTTAATGCAAAGAAATCAATAATTTTATATGCTTATTGAAAATAGGAATATTAGCAAAAGAAAAAGGTTAAAGAAGAAAAATCATAATAAAATGCTCGTATACATTTTTTCGCTTGATGCTTATTGAAAGAAATCATTCAGAATAATGAGAAACTGTGGAAAGAGACAAAAAAATATATCAAAGAAAAAAAGAAGAAGAGAAAGAAAACAAAAAAAAAAAAAATGCAATCCAAAGGAAAATATGTACGGATTTGGAAAAAATAAAATGACCCCCTGCGAAAATTGAAATTTCATGAAAAAAAAAAAAAAAGAGAAAGAAAAAAAAAAATAATGGTATATGAATTATAAACAAATGAATGAATCAATTAATTAAGAAAGAAAGAAGGAAAGAAAAAAGAAAGAAAGAATGAAAAAAATGATGTACACATTTTTGTTGTAAATACTGGATTTGAAAAAAAAAAGTAAAAAGAAAAAAAAACGATGAAGAACAGAAAAAAAAACAATGCGTTGAGGGGGGGGAGGCGCGAAAAAAAGGAAGATTGGAAGGGCAGCAGAAATTAACCGAAATATAAAAAAAAGCTTTCAGTGACATATATATATATATATATATATATATATATATATATATATATGTTATGCATCGGGCCTGAAACACGTGTGTGTATGCATGTACGTATTTGTGTGTACGTAAAATTTATGGTGAAAAATACAAATTATTTTTCCCTTACCTGAAAACGACGTTTTCCACTAATATTTGGTAAAAATTCGCAATAAGGTTTTTTTTCCAAATGGTAAGTTTTACCGTGTAAAGAAAAAAAAAAATAAAATTGAATGAAAGGAAACAAAGACTTAAAATCCCGCTACATACTATAGCGAAATATTGGTGTCGGTAGTTAAACGTATATACATATATATTTACATACACACACACACACGCACATGTATATATATCTATATATATACAATGTAGGAGCGTGTGCGTACGTATGTATGTATGTATCTATCTATATATGTATGCATGTATAGACCGTTTAAGTGTGAGTAGTCGTGTGTAGCAAAGTAAAAGCAGTTAACGATTTATCCAGTCAAAGTTGGTGTGTTTGTGACCGATAGATGGTATGGTTGGTACCTTTGTTGGTCTGTAAAATGTTGGTAATCCCGACTGTGAATAGATGCGAGTTAAGTGTTACGATGTATAAAACCAGTACGTGTAGTCTCCTCCAAAACGTTTTGTTACCGTCGACACTGTCGTCGCCACAAACGAACCGTCGTCGTTGTCTCGAGCGCTCTCACACACGCACGCACATGTCAGCAGTAGTATTATTATATATACACAGACAGACAACACGAGTTTTTTCCTGTTTCACTTTCTCTTTTCTTCCTGATGCGGCTATCCTCTTCTCTCTATCCTTAAAATTTCAGTTGCTTGTCTTTTCACGTGTTTAACCTCGACTTTTTCTTTTTGAAAATTCTTTTAGTTTTAGTTTTATTATGATACAAATTATAAGAATCGTTTTTATTCTATCTCTCCTTCTCGCTGTTATTTTCTAACGATCGAATTCTTTACTTTGCATCTATTTCTTTTTCTATTCTCATCTTTCTTTCTATCTATCTCTACTTGCTTCTCTCTCTCACTCTCTCTCTCTCTGTTTTTCCTTGTTATGTTTTCTTTAGTTTTCGTAATATTACGTGTTTTTTTTTGTTTTTTTTTACCTTTTTATTTTTCCTCTTATCTTTTTTTAATACTTTCGCTTTCTCTTCGTTTGTAACTACTTATTTAATCTTTTGACACTTTTTTACCCCAGCTTTTAAAAGTTTTTTTTTCAGTTTATCTTTCTTTCAACAATACCATCCTCTTTTTCTTTCTTTCTTTCTTTCTTTCTTTCTTTTCTTACAAATTTCACTGTCTATCCCACGGTGGTGTTATTCTAGGTACCACACGTCCTCTTATAACTTATACAGTAGCAGTGGAAGAAGCTAAGAGAAGTAAAAAGCGTACTTCAATAAGAGAAACTTCCTCGGCTTGCTTTTTCTCTATATTCCTATTCTCATTCGATAGATTCACAGATACCTGCGTCTCTCTTCCTCTTCATTTCTCTCTCTCATTTTTTTTCCTTCTGGAAACTATTTTCGTACGTTTTTTATTTTTTTATTTCAAAATAATTTTAAAATATTTACCCTTCCTATTTTTTTTTTGGTTTCTTTTTTTATATTCGGCCTATTTTTTTTTTTTAATTTTTATTTATTTTTCAACCAAAATTCACGGATTCTTCTAGCAATTTGAATTTCTGCACTGTCCCAAAACACTCGTTCTCGTCAACCTACTTTGACAATCACTGATCGCAGTTTTTTATGCATACACCGCCTTGTTTCGAAACTGTCTGCCTAACTTTCACATCAACCTACCTGAATGTTGCTCTAATCTGCATATTAACCAAACTGGGTAACCATGTAACAAAAACACTGACGCTATACAATCTTATTTTTATATACAGCTCATAAAATCTATAACAATCATTGTGTACTCAATATATAAATATACCTTTCTTCTCATTCGAATTATTCTGTGAATTTATTTAGGCAGCATATCTTCATTCAAGTATGTTTGGTTGAATAATCTAGACATATTATGTCTATTTTATTTTTAATCCTCTTAAGTTCAGGGATCAGTTTCTTACTGTTGTTATTAAACTCGTTAAGGAAGGCGTCGTAGTTTTTCTCATTTCTTTTATTTTCCGCAAGTACTTCCAATCTCATCCAAGATCATCTTCAGAGATGAACTGCTAAGACAATGTATATATATAGAATTTATACGGTAAAAGTTTTGTTACTTAGATGATTGATTTTACTTCAGCATCCCGACTCCAGAGTTTCGTCGACGTACCCTCCGGGAATACTCCGTCCGCTCTATCAGGGTATCATATAATATATATATATATATATATATATATATATATATATATATATATATATATATATATATGTAAATATATAAAACATTCAACCATCTTCCTCCTTTTCTCTTTTCGAAGCAGGTATTTTTCCTATTTTATTAAGTATTCTATAAAAATCTCTTTTCAATTATGCACCCATCAAAACCTGTTGATTAATAAGTTTGTATTGTCGACTATTTATTGGTGTATTGTATTAAGTGGAATGTTCAATGCATATCCCACTATTATAGTTTATACCTAAGTAAGTTTAACTTAAAAAAAAAAAAAAAAAAAAAAACAGATGACTAAGAAAATTGGTTTCCGGGGTCATTCACTATTGAATTTTATCCATAGCAAGTGCCTCAATATTGTGATATTGTACAAGAATGAATTACTTTCAGTAAAAAGCGCGTAACAAAGTCCAAGGATTATGAATTTAGTTTCGCCAGGTCAATCGTTCGTATATTAAGTTTTTCTTAACTGGTCACCAATCATGTGGCCTTATGTCAGAGCGAACTAGATCAACAAAAGGAAAGGAATACAACAACAACAAAAAGAAACCGGATGACATGAAATTCTCGACACGATGAAAATGATACAGCTAGCAGTACTGAGGAATGGCACAAAATAAAGAGTATTAAACAAAATCATTAGGAACAAATACAAGAAGGCAAAAGAGGAGTGACTCAATGAAAAGTGTACAGAAATAGAAAGAATGATCATAACAGATACGGAAGGTATGCATAAAAGCATAAGAGAAATAATAAGACGAAAACGTACTCCTCGACAGGATACGTAAATTCAAAAGAATCAACGCTGATAATCGAGAAAGAAAAAATACTTCAAAGATGGAACGAATTTGCTGGAAAACTCCTTGACGGCAAAAGATGAGAATCTACAATACAAAAAATGGCAATATTTGTGAACTACAATCAGCACTGTACAGCATGAACAGTAACAAAGCAGTGAGAATAGATGAGATTGTAATAGAGATGCTATCAGCCTTAAAGGATTTTAGGGTCAACTTTTCCTTCTATGTTGACGATCATGGCTCTCCACAATTTCCTGTCCCCTGTAGCTCTTAGCAAATTTTATCTTTTTGCTATCTCTCTTCAACCCTGTTCTGCCATTCATTTACACCATCTCGTAAGGTAGGTCATGCGCTATTCAGTACGTCCTGTGAGTGTTAAATTCTCCAAGCCCTCTTTCCTCATTACGTGCCCTAGAATTTTCAACTCTCTCTTTCTGATGTTAAATATAAGTATGTTTTTAGTTTCTGTTTTCTCTAAAACTTCTTCGTTGCTCACATGTTCAGTCTATGCCATTCTCAGCATCCTTGACAAGATTACGGAATTAGTAAATGAAATATACGACAATGGTGAGATACTGGAAGACTTTAGATCCATCTTCATAGTGCCGACTAAGAAGTCCGCTGCAAATCAACGCAAGCTCCATCGGACAATCAGCTTACTCAGTCATATAACTAAGGTTATTATCTGAATTCTGATGAATCGTGCGCGTAACATAATAAGTCTTGAATTAGGACAAGGCAAGTGTGATTACATTCAAAACACTGGAACAAGAAATGTGATATTTATTATCAGAATGATAGCTGACCGACCACTATTAATGGTAATACACAAGGTTAGAACTGCTGTCGGTTAAAATTCATAAAATCTTTTTATTAAAACAATTCTTTAAAAAAATAGGTTTATCCTATCCAGTATCTGTTAATGATTTTTTCCACTATCGATGAGGCCTTCCTTCTTTACTCGTTTGGAGTAGTGTGGAGCGTTAACATTTTAATTATGCCATTATACATTCTTCGAGTTACAGGTGCCATGCATTTTTGTGGTTACTGCTCTTGAAAGTCCTCAAAAGATGAGCTTTCTGTTATATGGCACATTTCTTTGCCTGGGATTCTGTGACGCCAGTCAACGATATTCAAGGGAGAGTGGTCCGCGCTGAGGGTCTACCACTTCACTCGCTCAATGCATGCAGTGTATCATAGACTACTCAAATGCATTTGATAAAGGGCGACACAAAGAGCTATTTGAACTGCTAGGAAAACTTCAATTTATTTGAAAAAAATACAGATAAAAAATGAACTGAGCGAGTACACAAAAACAGAAAGCGGCGTAAGACAAGAATTCGTCTTTTCACTTGTTTTATTTAACCTTTAAATCGGGACTATCCTAAAAATAACTATTTGTCTTGACAGGATTAAATAGTGCTAGACACAGTCTTAACTATATGAGTAAATAACAACTTGTTGATAGCACACAGACAAATGAGCGCAGAAATGCATAGAAGTTAGGAATGGAAAGCTGGAAAAAAGGACTATCTATCAATTGAAAGAAGACAGCATGCATAGTTATTAGCAAGAACGGTTCAAGATGCGAGGTACGAATTGGAAACGGTAAAATCAAGCTAGTACAGAAATTTATCTGGGAATGATTTAACAGCGGGCAGAGTTTCAAGAGAGAACACTGAAATCCGAAAACGTATTGTAATAACCAAAGATGGCTTCCAAAAACTAAACAAAGTATTAAGAAAAAGGGAAAAATCCTTAGAAACAAAGGAAAGAGTGCTGCTCTGTTATATAATATCAATCCTCCTACATAGCACTGAATGCTGAAGAGTTTCCTCACAGATAAAGAGGCAACAGAAATGTGGTTCTACAGAAAGATGTTGAGAGGTGGAGCATGTGAACAACGAGGATGTTTTAAGTGAAATGGAAACAAAAAGGAAACTTATTCTTAGAATCAGAAAGATTTGAAATTTCTGGGATCTATACTGAGAAAAGAGGGCTTGGAGAATTTGAGACTCACTGGGCATACATCATGTAAGAGAGGCAGAGGGAAATAATGAGTAATATACCTAATGAACTGGTTTAAGCTGATTGCAGAACAAGAAGTGAGAGAGATAATCAGAAGACAAGCATTGCTTGGCGCTACGAAGTCGTGGAGAGCTATGATTACCCACGTACTAAAAGAGCACGACACATCCAAAAAGAAATAGAGTCAAAGTTCCATCGATTATGAAGTGAGTTTCCCAGACTATTAACTTGTAAATAGATTCTTAACAGAGACCAAATAAGGTGGCCTTGTCATAGGCTTATCTGTATCTATCAAACTGTATCGTGTATGAAACCAGTTTTAAGCTCCACCCATAAGTATCTTGAATTTGGTCTTTACCAGAGACCCTAATAGTATAAATTTGTGACTGATTCATTTAAACTCAATTTAAATAGACAATTTGCTGCAAACTACTTCCCTACTGCCGTCGAATAGCTTCTTCGTGCTTGTACTATGACTAATTTAATGGTATTTGCTCTGATGAATTTTCCTTTTTCGTACCCTGAGTTCATGAATTGAAGCGCAGTACTAGATTGGCAACTAGTTCTCAACAATTTACTGTTGAAATTACTAACCATAACTTCTATTCTAATTCTTTCGACTGTGGAACTCTCTTCTGGTTTATTGATTTTTTTCTGAACTACGATCCCTCAAGGATTCAAATACGTCTTTTTCTGTTTCCTTGAATCCTGTTCTTTTTATGGTCAGTAATGTTATTTCAGTTCCATTCCCTCTCAGTAAGCCATATCGTCTTAGTGGCTTTATCATCTTGCTTAGAATGATACAATTTTAAGAAGCAGTCATTTAGAGTACATTGATATCTATACTATTATTGTACTGATTTTGTGTCTTACTCGTAGTGACAATACTGTGGTATCTGTGCCAAACTAAGTCAAAGTTAGTAATCAGATCACCAACTAGAATCTGATGATCAGAAACTAATTTTCAAGCCCTTTCTCTAGTAAACTAAGTTTAATCCAAAACTGTGTGTCGAGTCGTCCAACTACTATTATGGTTTTTGTTGGGCTTAGTAATCAAATTACTTCACAAAATCCAGTGATTATGATTATGACTGGTTTAATGAGTTTCTTCCTAACTGGGTCTTCGATTACAGTGACCTTTAGCCTGATTGTTTTTGTAGTTATTCAGACCTACCTTATGGCTAATATAAATTTATATTTCATGGAGGCATTAGTTGTTAAAATCTAAAAGATTTGATTTTGAGGGTTGATTTTAAAGGCAGATAGACCTTTAGAGAGGCCCTTCTAATTTGGAAAACTCTTGCAGCTCATCGTCTTTCCGAAATGTGTCTTTTGCCATTCAAACTGATGCTGAACTCTGCCTAACCTAGTAAGTATTCCTGGTTGATTTTAATAACGACGGTTTTTGAGGACATAACTTTTTTTTAAAATCCCCTTTTCATCTTCCTGAATAAAAATTTTGGGAACAATAATTTTCGTTTCATTGTTTTGGGGAAAATATTTTCGCATTTTTTACTCTGCTGTCTCTAATTAGCTTCTTTCTTTCTATTTATCACAACGCGTTCATTATCTATCTATCTATCTATCTATCTATCTATCTATCTATCTATTTCAACGCGTTTGTTATCTATCTATCCATCTATCTATACATTTCAACGCGTTCATTATCTATCTATCTATTTCAACGCGTTCGTTATCTATCTATCCATCTATCTATCTATACATTTCAACGCGTTCGTTATCTATCTATCTATCTATCTATCTATCTATTTCAACGCGTTCGTTATCTATCTATCCATCTATCTATCTATACATTTCAACGCGTTCATTATCTATCTATCCATCTATCTATCTATACATTTCAACGCGTTCATTATCTATCTATTTCAACGCGTTCGTTATCTATCTATCCATCTATCTATCTATACATTTCAACGCGTTCATTATCTATCTATCCATCTATCTATCTATACATTTCATCTTATCTATCTATCTATTTTTCAACGCGTTCGTTATCTATCTATCCATCTATCTATCTATACATTTCAACGCGTTCATTATCTATCTATCCATCTATCTATCTATACATTTCAACGCGTTCATTATCTATCTATCTATATATATATATATATATTTCAACGCGTTCATTATCTATATATATATATATATTTCAACGCGTTCATTATCTCTCTCTCTCTCTATATATATATATATATATATATATATTTCAACGCGTTCATTATCTATCTATCTATATATATATATATATATATATATATATATATTCATTATATATATATATCTATTTCAACGCATTCATTATCTATCTATCTATCTATCTATTTCAACGCATTCATTATCTATCTATCTCTATCTCAACGCGCTCATTATCGATCTTTGTATCTATCTATTTCAACGCGCTCATTATCTATTTTCATATTTCGTTCGGATTTATATGTGTCCCATTATCTATCTATCTATCTATCTCAGAATATTCATCTATCTCTCATCTCTCTCACTCTCTCTCTCTCTATATATATATATATATATATATATAATCTGTATATCTGCATCTCTCTCTTTATGTGTGTGTGCGTGTGTGCATTTGTGAATATATCATAAAATAAATGACAAAATGAGAAAAGGTATTTTTGCAACATGTTTGATTCCTTGAAGAACTTCATCAAAGGCAAAGTAAACGAACGAAACACATAGCAACAACATTTTTTTTTTCTATTTTCATATTTCACTTTAGTGCATTGTTTTCCGGTTATATTTATTTATATCTTAATATAAATATGTGTGTGTGTGTGTGTGTGTGATGATCATTAACGTAGTTATATATCTAGATATTCACGCACGGAACGTGACAGTTTTTGAATAATCTCTGATCTGTCACATTAAGAGAGATGAATTCGTGCCTTTCCTTAGTTAACCCAAACTGCCGCAACTGGAATTTGAACTCGGTTTGCTGATATCACTTTTTCCGATGATAACCATTATGCCATCTTCCAGGTTAGCAAAGAGAAAGCTTCTTCTTTTTTATATGTCCCTTATCAATTTAGGTAGTGGGCGATCACACATCTCCACGACTTTCTATCACTTGCAGCACTAACCATTGTTTGACCTTTTACTCTCTTTTTCTATTCATATTCTGCGATTTACACAAGCTCGTGAGTTAGCTTATCCGCTTTTCCCTTAAGCTTCTTTTAGCTTAATCATGTTCTGTGAGTGTCTAATTTTCCAAGCCGTCCTTCCTCAGTATGCATCCCTTCACTTTTCTTTAAACTTCCACATTATCTACATGTTCCGTTCATGGTATTCTTAATAGTCTTCTGTAGAAACACACCTCTGTTGTCATATGTCTCCAACTGTGACAGCAGTCTTTCAGTTTTGGCTGTTTGGGCCCATTGAATTACTGGGGAAGAGCACCAGTCCTGAAAAAACGGACGATAGGGTCTCGTGAGCTCCCCACCCCACGAATCTATGCTACAGCCCCACCCCACACACACTCTACAGCTCCCCACTCCTAAGTTTTCATAAGGTAGTATTTATATAAAATACCAGATTTATTGTAATCTAATGTACAATAATGGATCATATGCAGTATTGGTGAACAATTCAACTAGAAAAATTGAAAATATATACAATGTTTCTAAATACAAATTAGAGACATGTCACAATAGATCATTCCATCTTAAATAATTAGAGACATGTCACAATAGATCATTCCATCTTAAATAATTAGAGACATGTCACAATAGATCGTTATATCCTAAATAAATCAAAAATGTTTTGCGGCAGTTTTTAACATCAGTTTGAGATTTTATTGTTAACAAGTTGAATAATTCAACACATTCAACATTATGGGTAAAAAATGGTGAATTTTTATACAATGTTTTTTTTTTTTCGAGACTTTTTTTTTTTGGTAACTCCTTGTCTTGCTTGGGGTGAAATCATAAACAAAACAAATTCATGAATTTGGACGAAAATAATGACCCCAGGATGACGTCAACATCGTGAAAAATTTTTATCCTTTAATAGTGAGTGTCACAAAGCCCTTTCAGAGACCCTCAATGAGGCTTGTCCCTCCGCCGGTCGGAGGTAGAACCCACAGACCGTGCATGAACTGATCATCATTTTAAACTATCAGAGCGAGACAAGAAAAGAAGTCTGCAATGAACGGACATGTCATTTGTTTATGATTCTAGAAACAAATCGGACAAATTAACAACATAATTAAATGATGTTGAATGAATCAATTTCTGTTAAATGTAGACCTATTTTTGCCGTTGTTTTACAGTTTACATTGTGGCTATTTTAGTTGCATATTTTTTTTGCAAATGAGTTATACAAAAATTGTATTAGACAATACGGTTCCGATTCTGGCTTAGGTTGGTTATGTTCACGTTGTACTGATGCCCATGAGAAAAGCAGGAATCCACCTCTTCTAGCAGATTACGTTTGGAGTTACTCCCCATTGTCCAGACCTCAGCTTATAGGTAAATTAAACAGGAAGTAACAGAAATGTGGTTCTTCAGAAGGACGCCGAAAACCCCATGGATGGAGCGCGCAAGCAACAAAGAGGTTTTAAGGAAATGGAAACAAAAAGGACACTTATACTCAGAATCAAGAGACAGCTGAAATTTATTGGACAGGTAATGAGGAAGGAGGGCATGGAGAATTTGATACTCACAGGGTATATCGAAAGCAAAAAGAACAAGGGAAGAAGAAGAGGTTGCGTCAATGCATGAGAGAACGAAGTAGAGGGAGGGAGGCAAAGGAAAAATGTTGCTAAGAGCTGCAAGGAACAGGAGAATGTGGAGAGCCATGATCATCCACGTCTTTAAGGGATACGGTACATAAAATATAATTACGTTGAGTCGTAATAATTGCCGTTTTTCTTTATAAAATTTATTATATAAAAAATAAGTGCCAATTACATTTTATTCAATTATATATTCACCGTTATTTGCTATGCCTTATTGCATCCATCCATCAGATAGATTTTCGATATTTTTCGAGGAAAAATTCCACAGGTTTTGATGTGAAGATTTTTGTCTTGAATCTTGTTTTCATTAAAGAAGATTTTCCCCATCATAGCGTTTTGAAAGTGATAATCAGTTAGTACAAGTTCAGGTGAATATGGTGATTGTGGTAGAACAAACCAGCCGAGTTCCAATTTCTGTACCTGTGTTATTCTTGCTGCATGTGACCATGCATCGTTATAGAGGAGAATGATATTTTTCATTTAATCCACCGTGTACGCTGCACTACTGAGCAGAAACTAAGGCAAGTTAGTCTACACCAAATTTATTCCTAGATGCCACGTATGATTAGTAGTTAAAATGATGCATTAATCATTACAACTTGTTCCTAAAACTGAAATGACTTATGAATTATCCTAATAGAAAGATGAGTTGCCCTAAAATCTGTCGAATTAAAAGAAGTCTACTCTGATAAAAACCTACAAGTGTGTAGTCACCATGGGTGCTTCAGTTTAGGCAACAGAGGTATGGTTCTACAGAAAGATTCTAAGGATACCATAGACCAAACATATAAACAACGATGAGGTTTTGGAGAGGATGCAAAAAAAGGAGGAAGCTTATACTTAACATAAGGAAAAGACAGCTGAAATTTCTGGGACACGTAATGAGAAAGGAAGGCTTTGAGAATTTGATATTCATAGGACGGACAGAGAGAAAGAGAGACAAGGGAAAGCAACGTGTGACATACTTAGCGGGCTTCAGCAAGTGAATGACAGAACAGGGTCTGGGAGAAGTAGCAAAAGGACAAAAAATATTGAGAACTACAAGGGATAGGGAGAAGTGGAGAGCCATGATCGTCTACGTCCTGAAGGGACACGGCACATACAAGAAGAACATCCAAGAAAGAATCTGGTGTGCATAGGCCGATTTACATCTGAATTACCTAGCAGGGACAGAAAGAGTAGTAGTAGTAGTAGTAGTAGAGAGAGAGATTATCTTTTTCTGATATTGATTGGGCTGATGATGGATTAAATGACTTTCAACCTATATTATATTTTTTTAATATCAACATTTGTATTTTATTGTACTTGAATCCACAGATAAACATCATCACCAAACATTTACATGGTAGGTGGCTTCTTTTTGTCAGGGTCTTCTATGTCGGTGGAAAATTCACGTTCCCAGAGAATTGGGGATAAAAGCAGTAAAGATAAAATGGAATAAAACAAGTATTAAAATGATAGTAATGATGAAATTGAGTATAGAAATTGATTGTGTTGTGGCAAAAAGCAAGAATATTAATTATAGGGTGTTCAGAAAGTAATTACGTATTCCACTACTATGAATTATGAATCAACCAATCAATGCAAAAGCAAAGTTGGACTGTAGAAAACTGCATCAAGAATTACCCTAAACTGCGGCGATTTTTAGCTCAAAATTCTGAGTTAAGCCTATACCTATCGTTGCCCACAAAACATATATTACAGCTGACAGTGACCCAAAACTTAGGCCTACCACTTAGGTTACACTACTTACCTGTATATTAAGACACGGTATTTACTCTGTGCTCTCCTCCCCCACTAGGACGAGATATTACACAAGGTCTAATTTTAGGTGGGGACTCGAGCGCGTACGCCCGGAACAGGAACAAAAATCGTCGGTTACGCTGGCCTCGGTGCGAGCACCGATCTCTCCTTCTGGTGCAATGGGAGGGCGCGGCTTCGGGCAGATATTCCCCAGGGCTGGACCCCCGATATGTCCCGGAAAGGGATATATTTGAACGAAGTAGCTAAGTGGTTTTGGTTACTATAACCAAGTAGAATACGGTAGCAGTAATCGACTGGTACGCGTCGTAGTCACAGGTAAGAAGTGTAGATAAATGGCGTAGTCCAATGGGCATCGTTATAGACTTAGCTCTCAGACTAAGGCTCTTGACTCTCCTACACGTCCGTCGGTATTTATGTCGGACACCAGCCAATCATATTCCAGTGAGGGGGAACACATGTGTACGCATATTCCATTATATCAGCACCTCTCAGTATGATTTTTCAGTTGCCCCTCTGTCCTTAGACAGAGAAGACCCTGAGCGTACTCTGCCCAAAGACAGAGACGCAACTGAGAGATGATAAGTAGGCGCGAACTTACTCTAAAAGAGTAAGTTACGTGCTTGCGACACTAACCATAATATATTTCTATATGCGTTTTATAGCAAACAACAAACAAAGCACCTCGGTATGTACAGTATATTTTATCTGTATAACTTAAACATTTAAAAAGTTAGTAGAATGCTGGATTTGTGTTGCTATTTTATTATTTTATATTAATTTGTCAGTATGACAAATATTTTCACCAAACACAAATTTTAGTGAAACATATTTGTTACAGCAGGCTGGGGGTACGGTAAGTGGTATAAAGTTATTGTTAGGAGGTCTGTACCACTTATTTATAACTTGGTGGGAAAGTTTTGCTTTTTATAACCGCCATATAAGTCGACCCCTAGTTTTGGAAGGATTTTCTTAAGATTGAAATCTTGACTTGCATGCTGCATTTTTTTTTTTTCTCTTCTATCTGACAGTTCTCACTTTAATTAGGAAATCGTGCAGAAAGAAAGGCTTTCTCTTGAGAACCAAACAATTCCCTACCATTTGCAGGAGTCTCTTAATCCAGAATGTCATCCTTCTCATTGCGGATGAAAAATGTGTTTTGCATGGCAACAGAAAAAAGATAGTGTTTACGACAAAACGAGAAACCAACACTAACGCTAAAATGAGGACTTAAGAAATCCAAGTTTTGTGTCCGTTTTGATATAAAAGGTGTCGTTTATACAACCACCATGGTGTAGTGGACATAGCCTGACCCCGCTCCCCGCTCCTGACGTAGGCAGCATAAAATTGCGTGTGCATTATACGGGAGATGTCTCACGTGACCGAAAATCTGTGCAGCGACCTCGCCTGACACCATAAAAACCAGCATTTGTTAACACCTGGCGGATGCTAGAAGGTACGCCGTCGATACGACAGGAGCGAAGAAAGCGAATTACGATAACTCAGCTACAGGCTATTTCGGCAATACCGCAAACTAAGTCGGAGGGAAAGTTTGATATCCAACTTATATCAGAGCATGATGACTCAGCGTCCGGGAAAAACGTGGTCGAATGGCTAGAAAAGGCGGAACTCGTTTGCCAGATCTGGAAAGTGAATCGACTAAGCCTGGTAGGGCGTTTGCCGTCTATCAGCAATTAAGTGAAGAGGAAAAAGCAAACGCTAAACATGTAAAATCGGCCCTTTACACAGCGTTCGCGACGGACGGGTTTGTCGTGTATGAACAATTCTCCGGGCGGCGCCTTCGACTAGGGGAAACCGTTGATGGTTACTTGGCAGAACTACGCAAACTGGCCGTGTTGTTCGGGGTTATCAGCGACCGTGGGTTGGCGTGCGCTTTTGTCAAGGGGTTGCCAAATCGTGTGAAACGGCTCCTTTGCGGTTCTTCCCGGATGGAGGTATTTGTCATCGAACAGATACTTGCTTGCACTCGAGCGATAATGAAAGACGAGAACCCAGACGAAGACTTGGTAGTAGCAGCAGCGCAAGAGATAGACCAAAAGACTATCCAACTTCTAGGGGTTCTAATAACATGATCTGTCGTCAATGAAATGGCTGTAAACATTACGTCAAATATTGTAAAAATCTGCTCAGCGAAGGTGGGAAGCCTCGTATTCATTATTATAACTGCGATAAAATAGGTCACGTATCCCCAAATTGTCCGGGGAAAAGGACAAGTGGACGGCAACTCAGTATCGGTTTCCTCCCGGTCAAGATGTAAACTCGGTGATGCCAACGATAGAAATTAATGTGTGTGGAAGGAAATGCATCGCGCTAGTGGACTCCGGGTGACCCCCGCACAATAGTGAGCAAGAAGGTGTCTCAAACATGGAAGAAACGAAGTGTTCACATAGTAACCATCGGCGGCAGAACGCGGATGTGCGAAGTTAAGCCTGTCACCCAAGAGTCAGTTTCTGTGAGCGCAGCGGCACTGGTACTCAAGAACCTGGTTTTCTGACGGAATTTGATCATCAGCAGAATGAACGGATTGCGTCCTGGAAATGGGCAGAAATCAAAACGTCAGGCAAGTTGCAAAACCGCGTC